TCGCCACCACTAGAGCCCTAGGAATCTGTCTCCCTTCTCCAACAGGAGCTCTGCCACCCAGGTGCCTGCATAGCATCAAGTCACTGATGGCCAGGGACACACAAGGTGCCCTGTGGGAGTGGACTGACAAGAAGCTGGTACCAAGGGGAGGCAGCTGGCCTGCAGGAGCAACACCCACTTGCTGGGCTTCTTAGGAGGTGAGGCTCCTGGAGGAGACATGGAATATGGCTCTGGGGGGAGAAAGGAAGCTAGCCACAGTGGAGGGCAGTGGAGAGCCATTTGGGTATGAAGCCAGTGTTGGGAACAGGGCCAACAGCACCCACAGGGACGCTCCTGGCTCCCCCTGCCCTACTGCTAGATCTCCCAGGACAACCGAACAGCCCCCAGCAGCTCAGATGCAGGAGCCCACCTCTATTTCCTCAACACCCCAGATTCCTGATGGCCTGCATTCCATGAGGTCTTGCTGAACAAAAAACCCATCTCTCCTGGAAGAAAAATGAGTTGGAGTTGGAACACTTCCCTTTGAGGACACAAATATGCAAATCTATAGTTTTCCAGTAAGGATGCCGCATGGGCACAGGAACAGTCAGACCCTCCACTCCAGAGGTTTCTACAGGTAGCAGCAGCCACAGCTCGAAGCAAGGGGAGAAAAGCTCATAAACACCAGAGCAAGGACCAGAATGGCCTCAGGAGTTCCCACCAGCTGCTGACATGCACATCTACAAAGCAAAGAGCCAGACTGCCTCCCACTATCTATCAGGAACACTGAAACTCTTCCATGGGAGGGGCACTGCCTTACTGAGCTGCCAGGGTTCTCAGGGGCCCACGGTTTGGGATTACACCATGTCGGGCCACTAGGCCCAGTGGTAAAGGAAGCTGACTCAGTAGGGGCGGTCCTGGTTAGAGATGACCCCTCTTTAGTGACATTCCCAGCCCAGAGCCTGGAGCATACACACTCTTGGCTGCACTGAGGGGGACATGTGAACCAAAACCTACAGGGCCTCTGGGTCCCAGAACCCTTCTCAGCCTCTGAGGAGCCAGGAAAGCAGTTCCTGTGATACCAGCACAGAGAACCTGGCAGCAGCCCCTGCCCAGGACAATACTGGCTGGAGGATCCTGAAAGAAGGTGAGGATGTGTTATGTCAGGGTGCTGGGGGACCCGTGACAGTGGGGGAACAGGGGTTTCCGGGAGGGGTGGCCCCTCCCCTAGCCCCACTGTCCATACCACCTTCCCATCTTCCTCAGATAGCCCTTTGCCCACATCACCCCACTGTAGTGACACAGGGGAGCTCCCAGACTGTACACCCAGGGTTCAAAAAAAAAAAAAAAAAGCCCACCTTCCATGGGAAGTGGGAATGGTATGAACAGGTTCATGAGATGCACAGGGGACAGGGTCTGCAGGCAGCTTCGCTTTCTCTGGGCCCCCTGGCTGGTATGGCTGAGACCAGTGCTGCACAACAGAGCTTTCTGTCTACAGCATCCGCCAGGGCAGCAACAAGCTCCTGCCAAAAACAGCCAAATAGCGGGGCAGCTGCACGGACAGTCCAGAAGGGTAGGATTCCCTTTGCCTTCCCTTGGGGGAGGCTCCACGGCCCCAAATTCCTACTCAAGATGCTTTCTGACCTGACTCCTGAGTAGTTCAGCCCCACTCAGGAAAGCCAACCTGTCCTGCTGGCAGAAAGAGGGCTCCTGCACCCATATGGCTCACACTGTGGCTGCACAAGTCACCCGGCCCCAAGTGCTGCCTCAAATACTACAACAGCTCACGGTGGTGGTCTAACCTGACCAGCCAGGCTCCTCTACACTTCTCTAGGGGTAACTCTAGTACTACACACGTGCTTCCTCAACCCTTCCATTTATACATCACAAGCGTAATATGCGTGTGTGTGTATCTAGGCCTCACACACAGCTGGGAGACAGGAGTGGGAAAGTGAAAGGCAGGCTCCGAGTTGGTGAGGAGCCAGGGATCTGTCTCCACTGTCTGTACTTTGCACCAATGTCACACTGCCACCCACTTCCAACACATATGTTCCATCTTAAAACATCAAAATATCAGCACAGGGCTTGACACATGCTAAGGCCAGCATTTCCTGCCTGCAGCCCCTGAAAAGCTGATACTAGCACATCACATGCCAGACATATTCCTTTTGTTGACCTTTTAAAAAATACCACCTTCCAGAAACCATTCAGAAAAACACCTGTCAAACGCATTTGCCCACCTATGCTAAACATTGCAACCTCACCCAGCCCTCCAGAAGCAAAGCCCAGTGGGGGGGGGG